CCCCCCCGCCCCGCAGGCTCCGTCCCCCAGAGGCTGCAGCCCCCCCATGGAACATTTCACCCCTGGATTTTTAGAGGAACGTCAACAGACTAGGCATTGATTTGGGGAGGGAATAAGATTGCTTTTAATTAAAAACAAAGATGAAAAAAGAAACCCAAGTGGTTTTACACTGCGTTCTTCCCCTTTGTCAGGTCTGTGTTCAGAGCTCCCCTTGGGAAAAGTAATTTGACTTTTCCTGGCTCAAAATTCAGTGCCAAGAAACAGCATTTTTAATGAGTGTACCACTTTGTAAAGGTACACTACAAGGTGCGCAAGAAATTTATGGTCAAACTGCCAAATGATGGCACCCTGGATATCAATTAACACCTGATCCCTGGCGGGATCCTTCAGATTAATTCTGCACGCTCCGTAACGTGGGTTTTACACTGAGCAACGCCAGCTGCCAGCTCGGGGTGGGCAAGGGACACGGCTGTGTCCCAGTGGTGGCACGGGACAGAGATGCTCCACAGCATCGGTGAATTCTTCCCGTGGAGAAGGAGCCTGAACGGAGCCGGTCACTTCTCTCAGAGCTGCAATCTGTTTGTTCTTCTCCTGCTCGCAGGAGACTCAGGGCTCGCCTGCAAAGGCGTGCTGGGTGACAGACACTCACCAACTCACACACATTCATCCGCAAACACGCGTACTGGCTTTCTAACTAGCACCACAGTATTTGTTTTTAAGATTTGCACGGAGGAAGAAAACACTTCAAACCCTTCCTCCTCCCAAAGACGACTGCCCCAACAGCCGACTCGCACCCCACTCCAGCCTCGGCTATCGCTGCTGGGCTGGCAGCACCCAGAGGAGCTTTGATCGTGGCGTGGAAGACCCTGCACTGCACTGGGCATTGCAAAAACTTGGAAGTCAAAGGCAGAACTCCAATTACTCTTCCTGGGAGAGGCTCTAATACCTGCTCTGCAGAGATTCGCACGCTGGCCAGCTGCAAGCATCCTCACGGTAGACAGAGGGTAAGTCATGCCCGGAGGCTGGAAAATGGACACGGGTAGTGGAAGTACACATCCAACAGATTTATTTTTTTTTTAAGTGAAAAGGGACCCAGTCCCCGTGCCCTCGCAGCCCGTTAGACAGCGCTGGAAGAGGGAAACACTCCCAGCTCTTAGAGACGTGCTGCAGGTTCTCCCCGGTGCACGGGAGGGCAACGCTTGGTACACAGAAGCTCTTGGGAAGAGCAGCCAGGGCAAGCAGGTGGTTAGGACACGTCTGGATAAACACAAAGTGTGGAAATGAGGTTTCACAGCTGCTTCTGCACATGTCCAAGAGGAGGAGGAGGAGGACAGCCAACAGAGAAACCAACGTTTCCCCCACAGCACCTCAGTCCAGCAAACAGTCGTAAGACAACCAAAGAGCAACGCTTTTCCGCCTGCTCAGAGCAGACCTTGGTCTCTCTTCCAGTGCATGGCATCCCTGATTTTAACAGAGCATGAAGGAGAAAAGCACTTGAGATCCTTACACACATAAATTATAGTGAGAGGAAGGGGTGGGGAGGAGGGAGATGGGGTGAATGCAGGGCCAGGAGGAGGCTTGGCAGAGCCAAGGCCCCAAAGCGGGGTGGCAATTCCCGCTTCTCTCCGACGGCCGCTTCCCTGCGCAGCCAGCACTGCAGCGGGGACGCCGGGGCCCGTCCCGAGATGGGAAGGTGGTGAATCCACAAAGGCCACGCGTCTCGCCAGCGCCAGCATCCTTTCCGCATCCTTTCAGCATCCTTTCCCCCGCAGGCGCCAACAACAACCCAAGAACACAAGTAAGGAGGGGGAAAAATAACCCAAAAAAAAAGAAGCTTCAAGTATGAAGAAGATTTACAACGCAGGTGCAATGGGGAAGTTCTTCTGCCACTTCTTGGAGTCTTGGTTCAAGGCTTGTTCTTTGTTGCTGCTGTTTCGTTAGAGTCTGACTGACCTGGATAGACTGCAACCGAACAAATAACCCAAAAGAAAAGGTGTTTCCTCCCCTCCCTTTCCCCCCTCCCCCCAAAATATAAAAAGCAATAAGTTTACAAAAATAGAAAATAATTACAGCAATAGGCAGGAGGGAGGGAAGGAGAAGGAAGGGTCCCTGGGGGTCTATTTGGCTGAGCAGTGTAATATCGTGGGGTTGTTCAAAGCGTCCTCCACCAGATGCAGTTCTTGGCGGTCGACAACCACGTCCCTTATGCAGCCAATAAAGCCAGTGCTGTAGGCCTTGGGCAGCTTGTGAGCCACGCTCAGCTTCTCCATTCCCCCTGCAAGAGACAGCGCAGGAGGTCGGGGGGGGACAAAGCAGACACTGCCGTGCGAGCCAGCAGCCTCGCACAAGGATTTATTTTCATTTAAATCGGAGAAATGCCAGTTCCAACCAATACATGCAGGTTTCCCGAAGACACTTAGAACAGTAACTTGTGTTCTAAAACACCAATCCAACTTAAAATACTTCATTTCCTCAGAGGCTGGTCCCAAATATGAACTGCATTTTATTTCAGTTACTGAAACGTCAACTACGGCTCATTCCAGGCCCTGAAATGATAACAGGCTGATCGCAAACAAAACTTTTGGGAGAGCCAGTGGGGAAGCCAAGCAGAAACTTCTCATGGGAAAATTCTGCTTTCCACATAACTTCTAGGTTGATTTCAGAACGACAAGCGGCGCCTGGGATACCGTGTTATCAGAGGTAAGGCTACATTTTTGAATATGAACTCTTTGTAAGTCAGGTTAGACCTGAAACTACGGGCTTAGACTGGGAAGACAAGCACAGATGCTTCCAAAAAGCATGGAGAGAATCTAATTCACTGTTTCTTTGTTACTAATGACCAAAATCCCCAGACGAATGCTTCTGTCCGTTGATTTGTCCGTTGATTGTCAATAACCCTACTCCAGCAACCCTACTCTTGTTTGCTCCTTTTGCTGGAATTGGTACTTTTACTAAATAAATCTGTCTTGCAATGGCTTAAACATTAGATATTCTTCAATTTAGTAAAGCTTCTTCCCATGCAGCAGCTTTTGATTCTGAAACAATCTGAGAGCACGCTGACTGAAAAGACATTACTGTGAATGGAGAGAGCTGGGGCTGTCCAGCCTGGAGAAGAGCAGGGTCTGGGGAGACCTTGCTGTGGCCTTTCAGTACTTAGAGGGGGCTTGTAAGAAAGATGGGGACAGACTTTTTATCAGGGCCTGTTGCAATAGGACAAGGGGGAATGGTTTTATACCAAAAAGGGGGAGATTTACACTAGATATAGGGAAGACATTTTTTACAATGAGGATGGTCAAGCCCTGGCATGGGTTGCCCATAGAGGTGGTTGATGCCCCATCCCTGGAAACATTCAAGGTCAGGTTGGATGGGGCTCTGAGTAACCTGATCTGGTTGAAGATGCCCTGCTCAGTGCAGGGAGGCTGGACTGGATGGCCTTGAAAGGTCCCCTCCAAGTATTCTGTGATTTCTGCAGCCCTCGTGCCCCCTCGCGATCCTGAACGCCAGGACTGCGGCAGCACCAGCCTGACGAGAAGCCCGGTCCTCAGCTTACCGATGGCGAGGACCTGCAGCATCCCATCACTGCGCATCCTTCTCTCATCCCTGCAGGCTCCAGAAAGGACTCCACTGTGCTCTCAGCTCAGATTAGTACTGGCTGTATTTAAGCACAATTTTCCTACGCTTGTGGGTGGATTTCTCGCCGATTTGAGCTGTTCCAGGACAAACCCAGCCTCTGTCTGTGCTGACGGATCTGCCATAGGCAGCGTGAGAGAGACTCAAGGGGCCACACTCTCTGTTTGCAGAATCATAATATTTATGTCAACACAAACGGAACTGACTCTGCTGCACACACGGGCACGTTCTGGCATGTCTGCTTGTTCTATGTTACGCAAATGAGGCAACATTTAAAATCTAGGTATTTACATACTTCCAGAGAGAAGTACCCTTCTCTGAGTTCAGCCACTTCACCTTTGGGAACCAGAGTTACCCAAGCAAGTGACATTTGGGTGGCTCATGAACTAATGGAGGCTTCCACACGAGAGGGAACTTGGTAGACTGGGAGCGCTCCCAGTCTGCAGAGGGAGAGGATGCTCCATGCCATCGGCAGCAGGGATCCAGAGCTGCAGGCCAGCTAACCCCTCTCTTGAGGGGACAGGGTGACATGGAAAGGATGGGTGTTTGATAAAGCCAACCCTTCATCCCTTGGTTGTCACCAGCATCCGGCCCTCACAGGTGGAGAACACGCTGGGGCTTTTAGGTCAAACCTGTCAAAGCCACCTGGGAGGCAAAAGTGACCACTGAAAGAAGTGAGGGAGCATCAACTTCCCAGCTCCAGCCCTGGGGCCCTCAGCAAGGAGCGCAGAGGAGGTTCATCACCCTCTCCACGCCAACTTACCCAGCCACAGGGCCCCATCTGTGTCCAGCTGTGTTGCACCAAGCGGGGAAGAGCCAGCAATGGGGGCTTCGTTGCCGACTTGAAGGGAACCTTCTCTCTGTACCCTGCTCCCGGAGAGGGGGAAGAAGAAACAGAAGATGGTGAGCAACCTTAGAGGAAAAACCCAGACCTGCCCTCTGCTTTACGCTAAATCCTGGGCACCATCAGCCCTTCTCCACCCGGAGAGGAGCAGGGAGCAGAGCTCTCCCTGAGGCTACGTAGCACAGAGTGGTCCTCGGTGCAACATCTCCCCGGGAACGGCACCCAGCCAGCGGCAAGCACTCCTTCCAGCATCCCCACGGCATCCCACCGCCCTGCCAGCAGCCCCAGCTTCCCCCCGCGCCCTCCAGACCCCCCAGCAGAAATCCCCGGCGTGCCAGCCGCACGATCCCCTCACCACTCCCCACCACCAATAAAAATAAAAGGGACGGTTCGGCCTCAACGCGAACAGAATGTCAAACCCTCAGCCAGCTAAAATAAAAGGCACGAACCTTTCGTACCTCCTCAAGCCTGCCCCTTTGACATTCCCAGGCGTGTCGGAGCACGCACCCCTCCAACGCAGCACTGCCCACATGCCTCTCCTCTATTATTATCCGAGAAGAGTGACCCTTGGGGATCACAGGGCACGGAGCCACGGCCGTGACTCAGTCTCCCTAGTTCACAGCTTGCCCATCCCAGAGCCATCTGCCACGGTCCCGCTCTCCCCTCCCGCCAGCCTTCACACCTGGATGCTTTGATGTGAATCCACCGGTTGGTGTTGACCGGGACCGTGGACCGTAGGACGACTGGCTTGGAGCCGAGGTCGTAGGTCATTTGTACGAAGCCATCCACGATGGCGAGGGCGATGTAGTCCGATCGCTCCAGCCCTTTCCCGCTCCACAGGATCAGGCCCTGAGTGGCTTCTGTTTTGATGCTCAGTTCAAAGTGGTTTGATTGCAAGGCCTTCTCGCTGCACGGGGAGATGATAAAGCAGAGTTAAAAACACGGCTACAAAAGGAACAGGCAGCCAGCCCCTTGGAGCAGCCTTCTCTGTTCCCAGCCAGCTAGCTCACCTGCTGAGGATAACCTTCAACCGACCTTCGGCATCAGGCTACGCATGGCGTCTCAGTCCCTACCTGCTGCATTTGAGGGGTCGCAGCCTTTGCCTGGTGCATGGCATGGGGAGCAGATGGAAAGCTCTGAACCATCCCACAGGATCAAAGAAATGGCCCTTCTGGGGGTCTCAAACCCAGCTCCCACCCAGAGCAGGACCATCACCAGCGCTAGATGAGGGCAGCTCTGGTTGTCAGGAGGATGGGGCCAAGCTCTTTTCAGTAGTGCCCAGCGACAGGACAAGGGGCAACGGGCACAAACTGAAGCAGAGGAAGCTCCAGCTGAACATGAGGAAGAACTTCTTCACTCTGAGGGTGCCTGAGACAAGGTCACGGCGTCCCAGCGTTCCCTCTGAGGGTGACGGAGCCCTGGCCCAGGCTGCCCAGGGAGGCTGTGGAGTCTCCTTCTCTGGAGATATTCCAGCCCCGCCTGGACGCGGTGCTGTGCAGCCTGCTCTGGGTGACCCTGCTTGGGCAGGGGGTGGGACTGGGTGACCCACAGAGGTCCCTGCCAACCCCGACCATTCTGTAATTCTGTGGTTCTGCCCAGCTGAGCTTGGGAACACCAAGGCTGGAGCTCCTCCACCTTCCCGCTGACCTGAGCAGGGGCTGCGCAGTTCTCCTGCAGATGAAGCGTTTTCCCCAACACCCAGCCTGAACCTCCAAAGACGCAGCCTGGGGTTACTGCCCCTTGCTTTTGCCCTCCCTGGAGCACGAGGCTCAGACACATCAACCCCTGCAAGCTGGGACATACAAGCCCTGCTTTTGCCTCCCAACATGCCAGCGCTGAGGGACGAGGTCTGTTACGTGGGCTGGTGAACAGCACCAGGCTGGCCCCGATCCGGCCAGCAGAAGGGCTTTCCCCACAGATCTGCCTTTGATCTGAGGCGCCCAGGGACTACCACTCCCAATCCATCACCACACAGCCCCCAGCCTCAGAGGCCTTTGCTCTACCACTGCCTCTGCTTGACCAAAGGCCAAGGGGGACCCGAGGAGATGGGCGCCCTGCAGTTCGAAGGGGATGGAGACTGTCCACAGAGGCAGCAAAGCCTTCTTTCTCCTAGACGTGGTGTCTTTTCCCAAGGGAGGAATGAAGGAAGGACAGGATTTCCCCCACGCTGGCATCCCCATCTTTGCTCAGCCCCTTTTTGGGACAGGCAAAAGGCTCTTGGCAACAGGCGAGGTTGCCACACAGAGTCACCATCTGCTCTCCTGGGATGCTCCGGGACGCGCTGCTGACACACGTGCACACGTAGACCAGACAACACAGACAGCTTTTTATTCCCAAGGGACGCTGCGCCCAGGGGGCTGGATGAGGGCTGCACTGTCAGGGTAAGTCAGCCTCTCCCCTCACCCGTGGCTTTTTGCTGTCCAGGTCCCCCATGCGGGAAGAACAGGGCTTCCTCCACGTTTGCTCTCATCATCTGCAGAGCTGTGTCCCTCACAAATAAAAAGCCAGTGGCATGGACACACAGAACACGCACGGAGACGGAGACATGCCGAGGCAGCAGCAGCAGAGCACGAGACACAGGAGCTGAAAGCCCGGCACGCACTCACCTGGGCTCCGCGGGATAGTCCAGCGCTTCGGGACTTAGATGCGGGAAGAAAGGGGAGCGTGCGATAAGCGCAGGACAGCGGAGGAGACCCTTCCCTCCCACCCTGCTCGCAGACAGCGGACAGCCCCGCTCAGCAGCGGCACCTCTTCACCCTACGCAAGGCCCAAGCCCAGAAAACCGCCAGCAGGAACCCGCGGCCGCTCTCCTGCGGGCTGAGCTTCCCCAAGCCAGGCAGACACGCTTGCAAGTCATCGCTTAGCCAGGGTGAGCAGAACATTGCCGAAGATGATGACACCAAAATGGGAGGTGTGGTAGATACACCAGAAGGCTGTCCTGCCATTCAGTGTGACCTGGACAGGCTGGAAAGTTGGGCAGAGAGGAACCTGATGAGGTTCACCAAGGGCAAATGCAGGGTCCTGCACCTGGGGAGGAACAACCCCATGCACCAGTACAGGCTGGGGTGGACCTGCTGGAGAGCAGCTCTGTGGAGAGGGACCTGGGTATCCTGG